AAAAAGGTGAATTCTATGGGAATTTTTCCATAGCTTTTACGTGCAAAGCGCTACATTCATTAAAAATCCCAGACTCCCTGAGGAACACATGAGCGCAATATGCAAATTACTCTCTATGTCAATAGAGAGCGCAGACTGCACCAACAAAGTGAATATTGGCAATGCTCTGCTAACTTCCTATTTCTCTTTCTAGAAATCCCAAGGGTAGCTAGAAAAGCCCATAAATTCACAGCATTTGAAGAAATGAAATAGTAGAGGAAATAATTGCGTTGTCCTAGATACAAAGGCATATATCTATTCAACAAATGGGGTATAGCAGTAGAATCAACCTAGAAACGACGGGAATCCCTCCAAATGTTCTAGATTGCATGAGAAATCCGCTGTGTATAGGTAGAACGACAAAAGCTCAATTCTCTCGAATCAAACCCCATTTGTAGCGATATGAAACGCATTTTCACAGTTGTTTTTCCAGCCTTATCACTTTCAACCCATCGTTTCCATCTGCTAATAACAACCACTGCAAATCTCTAACTGACTCATTCCACGCGGAGATGCATCTGTTCCTTTTTTTGCATTCGAGAAATGCTCCTCCTTCCGCTCCTCACCCTCCTTCAAAATGTTGACTTTGTCCATGAATCTTCCCACGTATTGAATTCTCGTTAGAATTATGGATCTAAGAAGTCCTGCTGCCCTTAGCGCTCTCATACTTCTTCGAAATGAGTTCGGAAAAACAAAATGGGCGTGGCCGTGAAGCAAAAGAGTGATGGGCGGAGTAAAAGCGGAGCAAACGCCGTCGGCGCTCTATGCCATGAGCAGCGTCGTTGAGCTACGATGTGCCGATGGGACGACGTTGATGACGACAAAGGAGACGCTGGCCCGTGTGCCCTACTCCAAGCTGAGCACCGACAACAAAGCTACGTCCAACTCCGATGCAAAAATCATCGCTATTATGTTGGACGCGCTTCGTCGCGCGGACCAAAGACTAATTGTGCCCGACGATTTCGACGACTGGGGACGCTTGGCGGCTGAGGCAAGACGTTTGGGACTGTTCCAAATTGCCGAATATGCATCGCCATGTACGATTTGCGTCGCTTGCCATGTAGCATTGTCGGCTGGCCGACTAAATCCTGAGGTGACGTTTCGGAAGTTGTCACGAATTGTCGTCACTGGCAAAGTCAGCGTTTGTCGTGCAGTATTTGGGCAGAGTCTTAACGAGGCTCGTGACGGTGGTGGAACCGACTTCGAAGCGGAACGATACACTTCCAGGTATGGTATAATTTATTTCTTAACTATTGTCGCGTCATTTGTAACATAATTAGCATTCACACACCACGCTCGCTATTCCACGGCAGTAAGATAAAAAATGTTCACTTTCATTGATTTTTCGTCGTTTCCTTGTCTTTTTTGATTTGGGGGGTTATACAGTTAAAAAAAGTTAAAAATACACATTTCTGCATTTGTCGCGCTTAAAAGGGTATTATTGAGGAATTTCTAATAAGGGTGTCGTCAATTGCCGCGCTTTGGTGCAGAATCAATTTCACGAACGACTCGAAAATACGTAAGCATAATTCTTAAAGCGCATCCTTGACGCAAACCATTCCCATATGAAAAGGTAGCATCATAAAATTGATAAAGATGCACGCGAAGACGAAATCTCTAGCATTT